TTTTTTGTTAAAGTTGGTATCTTATTATGTGATGCGTCTAACACCCAAAGTAAAGAAGGCTGGGGAGGGGGGGGGGGGGTGAGGGGGGGGGTTAGATGCCCATACATCTTAAAGTTGCCAAGTTTGAAAAACACTGGTTTATACCAATGGTAAGGAATGAATTTTCCCCACCCCCATATGCCCCAGTAAGCCAGAATCCCACAAAGGTGGAATTAACTGGTTTTACCCACCTGCTGGTACTATCAAGAAGAATATGGGGAGTGACTGTTCCCAGTTCTCTAGCATGCAGAAAAGAAGTTTGTCTGATTCACATCTTCCCCCATTAGGGAAGCGCATCTAATGAAGTGGTAAAAATCAGGAGCCATGCTGTACCTTCTCCAATTTGAGAAGGGTTTTGACAATTTTTGGCAATTCTATCACCTTGTGCTTCATCCTTCACCTGTAAGGGGTGAAAGATGCAGCTAAGATGAAAATCAAATGCAGTTAGTATGATCCTAGGAATGAACAGCCCCATCCTTCCCTTTCAATAATATCCTTTTTAGGAGGAATGACTGGCGTATAAGCATCTCCTCTTGTTCCTTGACCTGGGTAGAGGGAAGAGGGAATGGCCTTGAAGGACAGAAGGAAGAGCCGCTACCAAGGCAATAGTCAGATAAAAGGGGCCTGAGCCCAGGGCAAGAATTGAAATGAGTAAACGTCTCAGGCAAGCCCCTCCCTAGTTCACACAAAGATAGAGGGAGGGAGGAGGGAAGCACATTCAGACTTGCAAGATTCTGTTATTATAGCTTTACAGTAAAAGTAGTACTAACCTACATGACATTGGTTCCTAGTCCATTCTACCTTGAAGAGCTGACAACTTGCAACTTCCCTTTTTGGGGTTTTAATCTCAGAGTTAAACCAGCCCAACAACACTCCCTTCCAAACCTAAAGAAGAGCATTACCTTCTCGGGGTTCTGGTTCTCTCCCAGCGAACCTACCAGCAGACCGGGCATCCACTACCTGGAACTGGTGTGACTCAATGTTCTCCTTAATCTGCTCGTAGGTCTTCACCATTGATTTATCCAGAGAGGCATGAAATTCTGCAGAAGTAGGATGACTCTTTCCAGAGCTGACTGGATACCCCTCTTTCATCCAGTTCTTCAGCCCACCATCTAGGACAGAAACTGCATCATGCCCAAAAATGCGGAACATCCACCAGACACGTGGAGCTGAGAACAGGCCCTGGTCACTTGCGTCATACACCACAACATGAGAATCACTGCCCACTCCTAGTTTGCCCACGTACTCTGCAAAATCTGTTGCACTGGGAAGCATATGATCATAAGGTGATGTGCGGTCACTGCAGTGATCAATGTCAAAGAAAGCAGCTCCAGGAATGTGGCGTGCCTCAAACTCACTCTGGGGATTACGTTTCATTTTGGGGAGGTACCAAGAGGCATCCAAGAGCTTCACAGACGATCCAGTTTGAGGAGACTTGATAACTTCTGACACCCATTTCGCAGTCACCAATGCCCGGTAGAGAAGCTGCTGAGACATGGCGCTCACAGCTTGTTTGGGTTTAGATGTCACCTGGGATTTCCCTTGGCACTGGGGTGAAAGAAGACAACACAACAAATATGATCACTCTCACAACAAGAGAAAAGAACACCCAGGCATTATAACATGTAGGTGGTTATACATGAAACAGTAAGTTCAGCCAATTCTACGGCTAAGTTGAGATGTAATGTTCTTGCTCTAATAAATACAATACAATATGGCTTTGCTGGTAGCAAGAAAAAGATTTGCCAGGGGGATGGAAATCTACTGCCAAATCTCTACCTATGCTAAAAAAACCCCTCACCCCCACTGGTAGTATCTCACAAGTGATGTAGTCTGAAGCAAGGCATCCTGGAAGCCCCTCATAGAAAACCACAGATGCTCAGGGTCCTTGCTCCCTCAAGATATGCTCCCCAAACTATGCAAGTCCTGGTGCTGCCAATTTTCTCCCATTATCATCAAAAGTAGGATGGAGGTGGAATTAGAGAAAGGCAAAACTGAGTGAGCAAGGGAATTTTTCTCCCCCACTCCTCCACTCTGGAATCCTTGGCCCAGTGAACAACAGTTGAGGAGAGATGCTGGTGGGCAGAAAAGAGGCAGGAGTAGATGAATGGGAGCTGCTACAAGCAAAAATAGAAATGTCTTTCCAGGCGTAAAAGGAACATATGGCCCAGGAGACATCTTTATGCAAGATAAGTGATTCTTTATGAAGAATGAATCTGTATTTACATTTTGCCAGAGAAAGCAAAAAGGTGTAACAGCTACGGTGTTGAATTAGGACCAGGGAGGCACAGGCTCAAACCTGCCCTCCACCACGGAAGCTCACGGGTGACTTTGCCTGGTCATTGTTGCTCAGCCCAACCTCACAGGGTTATTGTTATGGGGAAAAACTCAGATGAGGGAACACAAGGTACACTGCCTTGAGCTCCTGGAAGAAAAGTAGGATATAGATCTATCAAATAAATAATAGATAGATATAATTAATCTAGTTTATTACAATTCGAAGAATGTTATGGTTTAGCAATGCTAACAAGGTCACTTGACAAGGTATAGCAGTGGCAACGTTTTCGCTTTTTTCCCAGGGGAAGGACAATAGATGTTTCTATATGCCTTCAAAACATAAGGGATTTGCAGCCATTCACCAATCCACCGAACATCAACAGAATCATGTTAACAACATTCTGGGCAAGAAGACAGGAATATAATTAGCAACACAATTTAATTAGTGAATGTAAAACATCACAGCCATAATTTCCTCATAATTTCCTCACTTTTTTTCTGCATACAGTTAAAATGAACTCTAACAGAATACTGTAGCCATTCTTTTGGAAAAAACTCCAGGAATCCTCAGCCCTCCACCTTACCATGGGTGAAACACTTGTATGATCCATACAAAGCGAAAAGGGCCCCTACAGATACCTGACTTTCTCATTTTTTGGACTCAATCCTGAAAGGGATAATTAGATTGCCATGGGGTTTATTTAAATACCCCTTCATTTAAATCCCATCCTTTTGTCACAGTAATGCTCAAGGTCTGTTCATCTCCACATTACCTTGTCCAAAACATCCATGAGGTCTATATTCAATAGCAAATAAACAAGAAAGCAAGAGTGATCAGGGTTTACAAGAACAAAGGGAGACTTGGAAGTTAGATCATCATAGAGAATGTGCAGGTCTTGACCTAAGCCATAATTTCTGTAACAGCAGCTACTGGCTGGGCCTTCTCCATATTGACACCACATTTTTTGTTTTTTCTCTTCTTCTTGTTTATCCTTTTTTTAAAAAATGCACCTCATATTGTCATTTTTATTTTAATTGTTATGATTAAGTGCTATTTATAGGATTATAATGTTGCATTTAATTGCTTTTTTATCATAAGCCACCTTGAACACTGATATGGAGATAGGGAGTTAATAAATGGGTAAAATAAGGAAATAAAAAAAGGATACTGTCCTTCATTTTCTTTGTAAATCCTTGTAGTTTAAAAAGAAACATGGTTGTTGTTCTTAATATCTGCTGCTTGATTAATCAGCTAAACAGGAGCTTCCCATGTTGCAGCCCTGGACAAGAGTCTGTCTGAAAAACATTTTCTTTGATCGCAAAGCTTTTTGATCATATCTGTAGCTATACTGTACAGAACTGGATTCTCACTGTTAAAGAGAGCAGGAAGATGCTGTGCAAATATTCAGAGGGACTCCATTTTGTTCGGAGGAGATTTGTTCATATCCCTGTGTTTCACTACCTCAAATTAGCACAGTTTCTTCAACAGGCAGGAATAAAGGACACCCAAGGGGGGAAAGATTCCATCTCTCTTCCCAAAAAAACTCCTCAACATCCCTCCCTGCCAAAGAAACACCAAAGCCCCTGACTCGCCCAAGTGAAGAATGTGGAAAGACAGCACCAGGCACCCAACTCCTGTATAATAAGCAATTTATTTCCTTCTCCAAGTAAAGACCATTCTTCTGAGGCCTGCCCAATCTGGCAACCCCAACAGTACAGCTCCCATCATCCTCAGCCAACCTCGTACACCATCGCAGAGAGAGTATTACACATCACCCCCTGCCAACAAGGATTTGGGAGTTATAACCCAACACCCAAAGGTTTCCAGGGCTGGCTAGGGAGGAGGGCAACAGGTTGGTAAATGCTGCTGCTGCCGCCGGAAGAGCACCCACGCCCTGCCCCTGCCCTCACCCTTTCAGGAGGCAACTTGCTCGGGTGTCAGTGGCTTCTGGGCACGTGGGCGCGCGTTCATCTCTTGCTTTCTCCTTTCAGCCCCCACTCAGTCCGATCGACC